TCTAAAAGAAATTATGTTTGTATAAAACTAATTTGCAACAGCAAATATGGTTTGTAGGAAACATAATTGCGACCAGATTACTTTTTCTTTTTATGTAATGAGGAGATGTTGTCAATTTACATCTAACAAGTTGCAAATATGTTGATACTGAACGCATCAGTAAAATGTGCAGAATGTTCAGGTGTTTGTTTCCATCATAATATCAGATCTTGCAGTACAACATCCAGTGACGCCACCATTATTAAACTGTTTTATACTTCTGTTTAGATTCTCACAACACTTGGTTCAGTTTAGCGAAAGATCCTGGTCTAATACAAAAAAAGATAATAAACCTAAAACATAATTTCTAGGAGACAGAGTTGGTTTATAAAGTCGATTAATTGGAGGATTAGTTTTTTCTAAACCAGTGCCATACAATACCTCAGTTGTTCCTATAACCTATCAATGGTTTTTCCAATAATAAAACATATTTTTTTCTGCACTATACTCTTTTGTAATTTTACAAAACATAAGTATTTATGCTAAAGTTAAACCAGTATTACACTCAGTTCTTCCTGTACAAATTGATATATTCTTGGTGTTTGTTTTGGTGTTACCCATTGTTTAGCCCCATCTTTTGATTTGTTTACTCCGTACAATACTCTGTGACTGTGTTCCTCACTCTGTGCTGATGTTACAAGAGCTTTGACAGTCTGCTCATTTACTATCACCATATCTGGGCCCAGGTAGGTAGGACTTCTATCAACAATGCAGGACATATACAGTAGTCAAAAGTTTGAACTTTCCCATTTGGGAAGATATAAGACAAATAAGTGTGCAGGACCTGCTGATGGCTCAAGCTGTTGAAGTAACATGAACAAAAAACATCTATTGGGAAACGGTGCTTATGAAGCTAGGCTAACTAGCTTTCTCTCAATACAAACCGGTTGATTAACACAATGTGGACTTGTTGAAAAAGGACAATGCATCAATGTTCATATGATGTTCCTCAGTCAGAAGCACTGACAACCCTTAACTTTAAATTGTCTAAATGTAACCAGCTGTAAAAGGACAGTGACTAAATAATTTTAAAACTTGCTAAATGATAAAATTATGAAACAATCTGATCAAACAATAAGTAGCCTGAACTGGAAGATGGATTTGACCCAACATTGCAGCATTCAGTACTTTACTGTTTTCTTTCTTCTCTGTGCTACAGACACATTTTGGTCTGTACCAAAGGTTAGATACGCAGCCGTTGATGCGAGTGGATGGATCTGCTACAAGTGGCGGGAAAGAAGGTGAAGATGTGTAGTTATTGCAATGTTTCAACTTTTATAAATAAATAGATAAGAGGAATGAGGAGACAAAGACAGAAGGAAAGAACTGGAGTTGTTGGTAAGTTTTGAAATCATCAGTCATGTTGCTAGCTAGCTAAAGGCTATAGCTAATTTTAGTAGATTCTTTAGCTAAATTGGCTTTTTGAGAATAAACAGTGAACATTAACACTGCTGTCATGAGTTGGTTATGACGGACACACAGACACATTTCCCCTGAAAATCAATGGACCTGTTGTTTTAAACCTGACTTTAGCTTCAATGCTAATGACTGCTCAAAGAAAAGTGTTTTCTTTTAACATCTCTACATCTACACATTTGATAAACAAACTGCTTTTGACTTGGAAGACATTTTTTTCACTTTTAATGAAGCTAGGCTAACGATGCCCCCTGCTTACAGTCTTTGTGCTAAGGCTAATGTGTCCTAGAAGCTTACTTCCCAACATCCATACTTTTTCCACAAGAAATCCAGTCATTTCTAAACTGCCATTACCAGGACAGACCAGTTTCTGTGTGTGTGTGTGTGTGTGTGTGTGTGTGTGTGTGTGTGTGTGTGTGTGAGAGAGAGAGAGAGAGTGAGTGCAGTGTGAGCTTTGTGGGACAATGAGTCTAAAGATGACTCATTTTACTGCTACACCAGACGATTGCCTGTTCGCCTGACGCAGTCAGTCCCGTTATAAAACACTACATCCCAGACAAGACACACTGTCAAACAGCTGCCAGGCTCACACTTTACAGAGCTGCTACAACTTTAATGAAGAGGTCGCCTGTCAGGAAAATGTTAATGTATGCTGTTTTAAATATGACTGATGTTGTTGTTGTTCTATGTTTATGTTTATTAATTCCAAATGTCTCTTTATTTATTCTTTTTTAAATTTATTTTTGTTGAATATATTGTCTCTTTAAAAAAAAAATCAGACTCCAAACTTATCTATTTACACTAGCCAACACGACCAAAAATATGTGGACATGCAATTATTTCAACCTTCTGTGATTGTTGAATTTTTCTAGACCATGGGCATTAACCTGCTGCTCTACAACATCCTCCACTCTTTCCACCAGATGTTGAACCTGCTGCAATGGTTTACTTCCATTCAGACACAGGAGCATCACTGAGCTCCAACACTGATGCATATGGGATCTGGCTCGTCCAGTTCATCCCTGCGATGTTGGACAGGGTTAAAGTCAGACCAGTCAAGTTCCTCCCTGCCAAAGTGGGAAAAACATTTCTTCATGGACCATGCAGCCCAGCACCTTGGACAGTGGTTGTGTATGAAATCACTTACTCATTCACTCCTCCCTACTCACTATCCAGGGAGTTCTATGTGGAGGACTATATAGTGAGCTCATCTGTAAAATGAAAAAACACTGTTGGACACGACTTGGATAATTTTCTCTGCACCATTTTTCTGTCTTTCAGTGCGAGTACAATGCATGATGGTATATATTGCTTGGTTGGTGAACCTCAGTTGTACACTACTTTTCATGATGCATTGTGGCATACTATGTGTCCACTACATAGGATAAAGTAATTGGATGTGTTCGGAACCGCCTACTAACGTACTGCCTACTTACGTACTGCCTACTAATGTACTGCCTACTAACGTACTGCCTACTAGTATGTACTGCGTACTACTAAATTACCAAATTAGTATGCAATTACCAAGCGGAAGACCACACTGAAGTATACAGCCAGTATCCCAGAATGCATTTTGCACGAGCTGGGAGCGACGACTGGCAGGGATTTTAAAGAAGGTTGAAAACTGTTGTAATAGTCACTAATAACACTATTAATAGGTCACTTTTTAAACTTTGAACATTTTTTCAGGCAAGAATGTAGCTGGATAGACTCACAATTTTTTGGTCTGTTTATATGTGAAATTTCGGTTTGTAAATCTGCTGAGACGGATTTTGCAGAATAGCGATAGAGTTGAAACTGTTGCTGGAACAGGAGAGGAGCTTTGTGTTAAGTTGGAAGAACAATATTGTCCATTTTTTATGTTGTTGCATTGATGGTTCCTCTCACTGGAACAACCAGGAAAAGCAGACCCTTTGATTAAAACGTCAATTAGGTTTCACTGAGGTGAACTGGGAAAAAGAAAGGAGAGACAAAGAGAATGAGGAAGGAGGATGAGACAAAAGGCAAAGAATATGAGGAAAGGGAGAGATATTTTGGAGACAGAAGGAGGGATGATGGGAGGTGGAGAGAGAAGGGAGGGAGGGTAGAAACAGGATGAATGGAGAAGAAGAGCGTGGGATGAGGGAGACGGTTAAGACAAGGAGAAAGAGGGAACATACACGCACACGCACACACACACACACACACACACACACACACACAAACACACACACACAAACACACACACACACTCAGAGGTGACTGTGACGTCAAACCGGAGCCCAGCTGACTCGCTCGCTCCGCCGTGCCTCTCGCTGACCAGCCTCGCGCTCTCTGCACAGCTAGTACTCCACGCGGCTGCTGCTGCTGCACGCCCCTTTAAACACAGAAGAAGAAGAAGAAGAAAGGGGGCGAAAACGGGAGAACTCACGCGAAGAGACGGCTCACCAGAGGAGGAGGAGGAACTGGAGGAGGAGGAGGAGGAGGAAGGAGGCGCAGCACGGGGACATATAGGATATTATTATTATTTATTTTTTTGGGCACTTTACATGGAGACGAGCCGCTCTGCCTGGCGCGGTCTCCTCAAAGAGATAACCGAGTAGGATTGTTTGTTTGTCTTGGCACCGCTCCCCGACGCCCTCCTCCCTCTCTCCCTCCTTCCCTCCCTCCCTCACTCCCCAACCTCGGCCAGGTGTTGCATCTAAGCGCGAGCCCCTCGTGTTGATGGAGAGGCGCGAGAAGGAGGGTTGAGGAGCTCGCGTACTCGACTCTGATCCTGTCTGCGGAGCCTCGCGAGCAAAAAACAAGTTGACAATTTTGATTTTATTTTTAAAGAAAGAGATTCTGATTACGGATTTTGTTTTGCCTTCTCTGACGCTGCGGATTTTTACCGGATTTGTCTTTTTTGTGGCATCTTTTATGAACGTTACAGAAAAACGGGAATTAACGTGAGATTTTGTGGGTTTATGGTACTATTTGGAAAAAATGGCAAAGTAAACGGATACAGGTGTGCCAACGACGCACGAGCCATTTTTTTTTTTTTTTTTTTTTTGGGGGGGGGGTAAAATTACATAATCACATTTCTAGCCGTCTGGTCTGCTCCCTGACACCGCTTACACCCGAACTTCCGCCTTGTTTTTTTCACGGATCCCGGTTTTCCGTGACAGCCGTGGCACCCTTATGGTGCGGACGGTCGGCGCACGGTGGTTCGAGGTGCCGCTTGGACACGCCGCCCGGTGTTTCTTTTAGCCCTCAGCACGGAGACACGGTGCATGGTGATGATGGTACGCGGTTAATCCCGGAGATGCTTTTCCACTCGAGTCGGATTCATGGGCTGTTTCTTCAGTGGGATCGTTTGCGTGACAATGACCTCCAACTGCGCTTTACCCCGTGCCGTGCTCGCCGCGCCCCCGGTTCGATGCGCACGACAGGACGTCGTCGTCTCCCCAAAATCGCTGAGCTAACTAACTCACAACCGGGAAAGGGAGGGATAATATCAAACCGAAACAACCGATAGGAGAAGAAGACAATAACAACAGCAGCTGCAGCAACAAGCGGCGGCAGTGATGGAGCTGTCCGAGGTCCGGTGCTCCAGCGCCAGCGAGGAGCTGTACACAATCAACAAGACTCCGAGCAGCAGCAACAACAGCAACAGCAGTGGCAGCGGCAGCGCGCGACCCAAACGGCTGCTGTGGCAGAACGCGGTGCGGCACATCACCGAGCAGCGGTTCATACACGAGCAGGGTGGGGGAGGCGGAGGAGGGGTGAAGGGCATCGGGCCGGACGAGCCCTACGACCCGAGCCAGGGTCCGCGGAAGCAGTCGGCGGGGCGGACGTCGGTGGGAGACCGGCACAACAACGGCGGGACCAAAGTGTTCCCGGAGCGCGCCAGCAGCGACCTGGGATTCCTGCAGATCGACTGCGCGCCGAGCAACTCCGACTTCTTCCTGAACTGGGGCTACACGTACCGGGGTGTCATCTTCCCCACGCTGCGGAACGCCTTCAAGTCCCGCGACCTGGAGCGGCTGTACCAGCGCTACTTTCTGGGCCAGAGGCGCAAGTCTGTGGTTGTGATGAACATCCTGGATGTGGTGACCAAGCTCACCCTGCTGGTGCTGCACCTTACCCTGGCCTCCTCCCCGATGGACCCGATCAAAGGGACGCTCCTGGGCTTCTTCACGGGCATCGAAGTAGTAATTTGTGCCTTAGTGGTGGTGCGGAAGGACACCACGTCGCACGGCTACCTGCAGTACAGCGGCGTGGTCACGTGGGTGGCTATGGCCACGCAGATCCTGGCGGCCGGGCTGGGCTACGGGCTGCTCGGTGACGGGGTGGGATACGTGCTGTTCACCCTGTTCGCCACCTACAGCATGCTACCGCTGCCGCTCACCTGGGCCATTCTTGCCGGTCTGTTCACCTCGGGGCTCCATATCCTGGTCCAGCTGCTCATCTCCCACAATGCACAGCTGTCTACCAACCAGGTAAGCTCTCACCTGCTCACTTTATCTCATCCATCCATGCATCTTCATCCTGCTCTCCATCTTTCCTCTCCTCTTTTTCTCTTCCACCCATCCTCCTCTCTTCTCCTATCCTCTCTTGTTTACTTTCTAGTTTCCCTCTCTTCTTTCATGTGTTTACTTCTTTCTTTTCTTCTCCTTCTCTCTCCTCATCTCCTCTTGCCTCCTCTCATGTTGCCTCTCTTGATTCCTTTTTCCACACTTGTTCTGTCCCCGTTTTTCTTCTCCTTGTGTTTCCGTCTCCTCTCTTCCAGCCTCCGATTCCTCTTCCTGTCCTTTACTGACCTCCTCTCCTTAATCCTCCTCTCCTCATGTTTTCCATCTTCGCCCCATACAGTACATCCCCTTCTTCTCCTTCTCTCCCCCATCCTCCATCTTTGTTGCTCCCTCAACCTCTCCTTCTCCCAATTTTCTCTCCCTGTCTCCTCTTTTTTATGTCTCATCTCTACTCTCTCCTCTTCTCCTCCTTAATTCCCATTCCTCCTTTTCCTATTCCTATAGACCTCCTCTTTTTCCTCCTTCATCTCCCTCCACATCATCGTCTCCTCTCCTCTCCTCTCCTCTCCTCTCCTCTCCAGGAACGTTTTTCAGACTGATGCTTGAAGATGATGATGTTGGTGTTTACTGAAACGCTCAGCTGGGTGGAAACTAGTTGCTGCATTGTGATGTTTTTTGATGTCTGTTTCCTTAAGTTTTTGCTGAGAACTGAAACTGGGCAGCAGTTTATTTGCAGCTGTCACTCACATTAGTGAAACAACACAGCGATTGTGTTATTCTGTGTGAATAGGTGTACAAGTGTTGGTCTGTCTGGGCTGTTTGTTGCTCTGTGTCTCTGACTTCCTGATTTTTTCTTAGCTCTTGAATTCATTGTTTCAGTTTTAGTAATGAAATGTGACACCAGCAGGTCTGACTGCTGAGGTTTCAGCACCAGGAGCTGTCCAACACACACACACACACACACACACACACACACACACACATCTCTCTGTAGTTGTGAGGACACTCATTGACATAAAGCATTATCTAGCCCCTCACAACTAAATGTCTAACACTAACCCAGAGGTTCTTAAACTGTTTCTGGCTTGCCCCCCCTTCAGAAAAGCCCCAACCCCCCACCCCCACCACCTCTGCAGTATGCTCCGTGGCCCCTCCCTTCCTGCCCTCCCGTTTGAGAATCACTGAACTAAAACCTAAAGGTGTGAAGGAGTAGAATTGGTCCACACAAATGTAGAAAGACACACACACACACACACACACACACACACACACACACTGAAATGCACTGCAGCTCCAAATAGTTTCAGCCCCCTCTACTGGTGGGATCAGCTTTCTTTCTTTCTTTCTTTCTTTCTTTCTTTCTTTCTTTCTTTCTTTCTTCTTTCTTTCTTTCTTTCTTTTTTCCTACAGTAGTAATTAAGGTTGTGTAATTACCATAAAGCGTACATTTTTATGTATGTGTACAGTAGCATATGTCTCATAGTTTTACTCCTACTCTCTATAAAAACTGAAGTAAATCAGTGACTTTGAGTTTAAACTGCTGACTTTAATAGTTAATGTGATGGTGTTTACATCCACATCATTTTTACAATCCATCATTGAAATGATCCTAAACTCACAGACAAGGCAACCAAAGAATTATGATCAAACAATGGACCGGTCTTTACTGTCTGAGTCAGTCGCCTGACCCTCAGACCAGCTGATCATATGTTTCAGCGCTGAAGGTCAGACTGAAGACAGAAACCCCCCAGAAAAAGGCACAGGCTTCTCACAACATCAGCACAAATACTGAACGTGACGTGATGACTTTTATTTAAGTTTCTGTCACTTATTTGAAGATGTGGATGTACAATCACTCATATTTAAAATGAGAATCAATCAATACTCACTGACTTTATAATTAAGAGACACTTTATTCTGAAAGACCTTTGTTTCTGCTTAGTATTTGATAGCCTGTACATTTATGTCTATTGGTGGTGCTGGTGTGGAGAGAGAGTGAAGCACACAGCTGTAATCTGTCTGCGCTTGGTCATTATATTTTCACTGAGGTTGGAAAACACTGTCAGTGAACTGTTGCTTATTTTCCTGGACCCTTTCCTGGAGTCTTTGCCTCACTGTCAGGACCTGTCTGGATCTTTTTTTAGACTTCAGATCAAGAGTTTTACACTCACTAAACCTATTTGCAGCTACAACCCCCTGCTGTAGGGGATGACAGTAATGAGCTGAAATTATATTATTGCAAGCTTTCAGTCAGCGTATAAAGCTTTTTGTTTGGACTGTGTCAGTATACATTTGACAGGTTATAGTTGACGCTGTAAAAATGTTTCTACAGCAGGGTCTTGTTTGCTGTCATGACTTTTGCCTTGTGTTTTGAAATGATCATAAAACCACAGAAGAAGAAAATTATCCATCTGTCAAAGGCTTTTGTTTCTTGTTTAACTTTTGAACATGATTCGCCTCAGTTGGTTTGAATAGAGTTTGATTAATTTAATGTAAACAGAGAGGAAATTACTTAGTTGCAGGTTTAGAAGCTGGATCCACTTCCTGTAAGTTGAGAAATGTTAGTTTGATATGTACAGAGGTTGATATTTTACACTTCTCCTGTGTTGTACTTGAAGATATAAGAGGATATATTTGTGGTTTAGAACCAAAAACCATCTCAATGTAGTTTTACATCTCCTCTCTCAGGCTTCTCTCTGGAGATCTAGTAACAACAGGTTGGCGAGGCGATCAGAAGAGTGGAGGCTCAGCCTCTCATCTGATTGGCTGACTGCTTTCTCAGTGATCCAATAAAAAAGATATTGCAGATTTCAGGTAAACACTCAGAGAAACCAAATCCTGCAAGGTTGGATGGTGGGTCCAGGTGGGTGGGGCTTGGAGCATGGCTGAGAGCGGTGACTGCTTTGTTGTGACATCACAAAGTTCCAGAAGTCCTGACGGCTGGTTTTAAGGCTCAGTTTCTGAATACAGGCTGTGTGCATTTCTCTGTGGACTGAGCACTTTGATACTTTCACAGTATTAATATAGAACCTAGACCTGATCTATAATCAAACAACACATGGACATCTACCTTTAGACTATATGGGACCTTTAATGTAAACAGAGAGAGGGAATTACTGAGCAGCAGGTTTAGAAGTTGGATCCACAACCCACAAGTTTGAGAATTGTTAGTTTAAGATGTACGCCCAGTTTAGAATGAAGGTTTTCTTGATTTGTTGTGAGTAGATCAAGGACAAAGTGCAAAAAAAGAAGCAGAAACTGTGTCGTTGTGCAGCAGAGTGTGTGTATGTGTGTGTGTCGTGTTAGCAGAAAACTCTCACCTGGAGCGGATTATTCAGTATGTGAAAATCAAAAGATGAAAGTCTTGAGTCGGATAAAAAAAAAAAAGCTCATTGAAGTCCTTGGATGTGTTTTGCCTTTAATTCAGTGTTTTGGTGTTTCTGGAGATGAGTGTATAGTCACAGGCACAGTGTGTATCTCATTTGAGAATTAAGCTCTTCACGTCGCTTGCACACTTTTGGCTGCGTCTCCAATTTACAAGAGAGAGGCTGGAGCCGTTAAAGTTTTGAAATGAGCAGAGATGAAGAGACAACAGAATGTCAGGCGTGATGAGAATGATATATAGGAGTGTTCGCTTCAAGACACTGAGGACACCTATAGATTTACAGGCCATAAATCCAGACAAAACAGAAACAACACAATGAAACACAACGTTAACAAACAGCACAGAAACAAAACAAACAACTCAGTATCAGCATAAACACATCATAAGATGCTGTTAAATACTTTTCTGAGTATGAACATGTTTCTTCTGCATATTATTTTACAGTTTTAATGCTGTTTTAACACAGACAGCCTTCAAAGACATTTCCTACATGAACGAGTATGAAATTTACAAATGCACAATATTACAAAAATCTACTTTAAATCAATTAAAGTAAGTAGAGTTACACTTCCTGTCAGTTTGTTTGTCTCTGTAATTATACGTTTGGTGGCTGATGGAAAATTCCTGACGTTCAAAATGACGGTGATTCACACTCTGAGTCTCATGTGACATAGTTTGTTGATGTCATTAGCACGTTGTGCCATTTTTCCATCTCTTTGCAATTTTCAGTATCAGTAAAGAGACAAATATGAAACATTCTCATATCCAGGTTTTTATTTTGTGCTGTATATTAAGGCCAGTAGCTCTTTATTTTTGTGTTTGTTACCTTTTTAATTTCATATTTAGCTCTGTTTTTTTAGTCAGAATGATTTGTTAACTAATCAATAAGTGGATCCACAGAATATTACTTTGATGAAAATGGCAAACATTTTCTGGTTCCAGATTTGCAGTTATGTTGTTTATATCATTACAAGTTGAATATGTTTGGGTTTTGAACTGTAAGTGGGTAACAAGAGTTTTAAAGATGTTATCTTGGACTGTGGCACCTTATAATTGGCATTTTCACCATTTTATTGACTAAATGATTCATTGAGTGATAGTAAACAGATTAATCATTGATACTTTAAAATGCAGAGGACAGAGGGGGCGACACTGCAAAAAATAGATAAAAGGAAATAAAATACACAAAATAAAATTAAATACAAATAGACAAAAATAATAACACACCAGAAATACATGCACAGTGCATTTTATTGCTATGTGAGTATCATTGTAAAGAGACATTATACAGACAGACAGTATATAAACCAGGTACGTGAGGCTGTTCGTGAGTCACGGCTTATTTTCAGCAGCTCAGAGTGATGCATGTTGAGACATGCAGGAAACTCCACAAATACTCGTGCTGCAGCCTAAATGCTGCAAAAAGACACTGAGCATGCTCCGTGCGACTCATGCTGCCTTGCCTGGATGAGCAGAGATGAACAGAGCCTTGTCCCTCCACCGGTGTCACGCTGAATCCCATCACACTTCACTTTGGAGTCTCAGCTGACCCTGTGCGTGGTCGCGTAGCTGACTGTAGATG